TATTGGGGATTGTTCTCAGGAGCAATATCTTTATGGGAGTGAGGGAAGCAGGACCAGGTAAATGAGAAGTTAAACTGCAATATATGCAGTTTCAGCAGAGAGAATTCAGCCTTCCCACAAAGACAGCCCTTCAGAGATGTCCAGAGTCAAGGTGAATGGGGTGGGTCTCATGGCACTGCACTGATCAGTCATTGAATATAGGCTGACCCCAAGTGCATAACCTTTTATAAAGCACCTCCCTTCAGTGCAGGGAAAGTCCTAGGAGAGACTCAGCTGCGAACCATCTGCAGCCAACACTCTTGACAGTTGGGGGAATGAGTATGTTTGTCCTTGGGGCCATAAATGTATACTGTCATCCACCCCATGTGAATGTGAACAGTTTCTGGGTCTCATTCCTGATTGGGATGGAAAAGAACACACTTGCCAGGCCAATGGGCACAAAACATTTACTTAAAGCTATGTTAATATGCTATTTAGGTAGCAAAGATAGCACATCTAGTCTAGTGTGGTAGCAGTAACAGGGGCTACCACTTGGTTGAATTTGCAGTGCTCAAGTGCCATCCTCTAAGAATTGTCTTTTATTTTTTTGTCTGGGCCACACTGGTGAATTAAATGGGACCATTAATCCTGCATCCTTTGGTTCTTTAAGGATAGTACTATCCTCTGCCTTGGAAAAGAATATTTTTTTATTTTCTATCTTGTCTGGAGGAAGGGTTAGTTTCAAGGAACCAATGTTGGGTTTCTGACAACTACCATGTGTGTACTGATTATACGTTTGGAAGGCAGGAAAATGACCACTGGATGGTCAGTAAGTGGGAAGAATCAAAGTTGTCTACTAAAATTCTTCCTAGGTTACCTGGATGAATGGAGGTTAAAAGAATTAAGAGAAAATATTGGAATGAGAGCCAGTTTAGGAAAGAAGATGATGGTGAATTTTTCAATATCTTGAGTCTGAGCTGAAAATGCCTATAGAACAATTGGGTTTATGATGAGGAACTTGAGGGAGCACCTACTAGAGATGGTGGTAACTCAATGAGAAGGATGAGATCACCCGAGGACAGTGAGCAGCATGAGGCAATGAGAGGCCAAGTGTGGCACCTGGAAGAGGAATACTCCAGGGCCAGCAGAGGAAGAGGACTCTCTTAAAGGAGACGTAAGAAATGATCTGAGGTAGCAAAAGAAGTAGTTTGATAGAGCCAAGAGAGAAGGATTTTAAATAAGGAGTGTCAAGTTCTGCAGAGAGATTAAAAAAAAAAAGTGTTGTTTTTCTTTTGTATTGGGTAAACTTTAGGGTTATGGTGATCTTAAAGTAATTTAGCATCTCTTAAAATGGGTAAGCAAGAGGACTGGGAAAGATAAATCAGAGTGTAGTAAAGTGAGGAATTTACAGAAGTCAAAATTCTAGGGAGGTCAGCACAAAAATCACCTGAGCTATGCAGTGGGTCAGCGAAGCCTCTGTCAGTGAAGCTACATAGAGGTGTGTGGGCTTCTTTTTAACTCGTAACCTTAATAGCTCCCTTTTAACTTTAATCCTGCACTAACATCATAGAGGCACAAAATATTGAAGTCCTCTAGACTCTCTCCCAGTGGAATCAATAAGAAATAGCTCATTATTGCTTCTGAATGAGAAAGTATCACTCTTCATAATGGAAGCACTTAGACGTTCTGCTAATCAACTGCTTAGACTGGCTGAACATCTGTGGGCTCTTTATCTTCGTTAATGGGGATATTTCAAAGAGCCCAGCTTAAGGGAATTTTATGACTGGGCAAGTTTTATTCAGTGGTGGGTTTCCTAACTCCTACTCTTCTTCCTTTCCCTCCCCCCAACTCCCCAAATCGCTTCTTCCTTTCACCTCTGCAGTTGGAAGACACTTTGGTTTGTCTGGATACAAAATTCTATGCAGTCGGCCTGTCTTTTCCCTGGGTTCCGCAAGGCAGACTCAACCAACCATGGATCAAAATATTCCAGAAGAAAAAAACACCACAGTAAAAAATAACAATACAACAATAAAAAATAATATAAACAAAAAATATAGGATAACAACTATTTACACAGTATTTACATTGTATTGGGCATTATAAGTAATCTAGAGATGATTTAAAGTATACAGGAGGATGGGCATGGGTTATATGCAAATACTATGGGACTTATAAATAAGGGACTTGAACATCTGCAGGTTTTGATATCCGGGAGGGTCCTGGAACTAACCTGTGGATACTGAGGGACAACTGTTTAGTTATATGTCTCTTTATGCTTTGTATATTTATATTATTCTTATTCAGGTAAATTATATTTATTTACATGTTATTAATTTCAGCCAAAATTAATTTACAATTTAATTGAGATCTTGGAAAGGTGGAAGACTGGCAATACCTCTTAAAGGGGACGGAGAATGCAGACACAGCTATGGAGGACGAGTTTGTGGTTCGTATCAAGTAACGCCACAGATGGGCTCTCTCAGCTTCCAGAAGTAGAGACTGTAGTTGTCAGTCACTTTCTATCTCTGCAGCAGTTAGCACAACAGTCCAGTACATAAACTTTTCATTCTTATTGCCTGGTGGTGCTGCTGCTCAGACCACTGATCATGCTGATGGCATTGCAGAAGGATGCATATCCTTCCATTTGCTTTTTGTTGACTTCTTGCCAGCTCTAACTCCCTTTCTTTCTTTAATGTTCATGGTTTTAAGGGCCTGAGATTATAGTTAACCATTCTCAGGTGTCAGGGACTTGGAATAGCTTCACTGGTCTTTAGCAAGCGGCAGATCCATTCCACATATTATCTGATTTTATGTACTTTTGACTGTTGCCCGAGCTTTCCATCAGGACAGTCTTGGGAGACTGGGGGAGCATGTCTGTCTCCTCTCTCCACCCCTCATGCCTGACTCAACTCTCCGTTGCTGCACATATGTAAGAGTGCAGTCACTGGGCATGCTCAGTCCCTGGTTTTGAACCTCATCTACTCCAACTAGCAAATATAGGCCCAGAGCAGCCCATTATCTGCCAATTTCCTTTAATAAAAGATGCCATTTTGTCTGGTTTCTGCAGAGGAGGATTTGTAGGTCACAACACCCCACACAGTGGGCCTGATCCTTCCACGTGCTTTGGGAGGCCCTTCCTCTTCATGCTTAAAACTGACGTAGAAGCTGCACAATAAATCTTTATTGAATGAATGAAATTTAATTTATTTCTACTTTCATGCACTTTCTCAGGTAAGAAATCTTTACTACCTTCATGGAAGAAGCATGCAAATAATTTGAAAAGAACAAGTCAAAACCTCCATTAAAATATTCCCAGCTAGGAGTGAAAAAAAATTATTTTCTACTCCTCTTCCTTTATTCCAAATACTAACTGGTTCTTAATCTTCAAAAAGGCACATTGACTTGTGGGCTCGGGCTACTTTCAGTGCACCAGGGAGAGGAGCTGAGGGTTTGCTACATCCAGGAATTCCCAGCAGTTTCTCTCCATTACTCAACAGATCATTAATTTAGAGCTTCAAAACCACAACGGAGCACTAAGACATTCTTGCCTTCAAGAGATTGGCAATGATTAGGGTTTCTCACCATCCATAAACTTAAAGAATAGAGTTTACCAAGAAGAAAAGCCTTCTTTCACTATTTCAAAGAATCCCAACAATATAATGAGTGCAGGATGATGGGAGGGGGTCATTCCCCAACCCCAGACTCCTAGAGGATAAGACTCAGGGAAACCTCTCTTAGCCAGAGCTGTTTTTCTCTGATTCTGGGTAATAATTAAACTTCCAGTCTGATGATGCTGCAATGTGTAACACAGTGTTGGCCAGAAGGAGTTTTAGTGGTCATCTTGGCAACCTTTTCCATAAATCTGGAATTCTAAAACCACTGAATAACTCTGGTATGAAACATAGGAAATACAGCATAAAATATCACAAGTAGTTTTTAAATGCATGGCTGAATGCAGAAGAAAGTAGGGACATTGAGCCCAAATGAACAGGGCAGAACTGTAAGCCAGATCAGAGCCCATTTCGGGGAGCAGGAGGCTTGGGTGTTAATGGCCGAGCTGGAGGCAGGGACAAGGCTTGCCCCATGCAGAGTCCAGAGGGGGAGGCCTGGCATAAGTTTAGCTCCTTCAGAGGCTTCTACGCTATTAAAACGAACAATAGGGAAAAGAAATCATCTCACAAGCAAAGGGAGATAAAGAAGCTTGCCTATCTTGACATGGGTTCTAGTTGGAAGTTTTGTAACAGGTTCCCTGCCAGAATTTCTACCCTGAAGCTCACCTTCATGTGGGTTTGACAATCTTTTTTACTACCTGTAAGGTCCAGGAAACCCCTACAGAAATATTTCTTTATCCATTCCTGGCTATGTGTATTCCCACCCTGAGTTATTATCATAACCTGAGTTAGGAGTTAATATCTGATTTAGGAAGAAATGGTAGTTGATGAGTAGTTTTATTTGTAGAATGCTTGTTTTATGTAGCTACAAGTCTTTATATCTGTCTACCTACCTACCTAAGTAGGCTGCACAAAATCCATCCATAACATACCTGAGTCCCTATCAAGCAGCACTTTTTATTGTCTTTCTAAAAGTTGAGATGGAGAACATTTCTCTGTTATGGAAAGAGACTGGAATTTGGGTGGCTGCAGCCAATTCTGTATGTTGGCCCCATCCTGGTGCTTTGCAAGAGTAGTCTTGATTATATAGACCAGGTTCCAGGATGTTCTAACAGGTAAGAACACTTTTAACATTCATGAGGCACATGCCTACCTTCAAGCAAACACAATCGAGTGCTTAAAATGAACATGGCTTCAGTGCCTATAGTGACATAAAGCCAGTTCTATTGTCCCTGAAATGTATTAACATTTGTTCAGACCACACAGCTCTCCATGCCCTTCACCTTCAATGCTTGACCTGGTTCCAGGTCCCCATTTCCTACTCTCTTCTTTCCCTCTGTCTTCCCCTACCCTGCATGCTAACCTGAAGTCTCAGCTCTGAACCAGATCATTCCAGTCATCACTACTCACCCTGTGGGGAAGTGTGTCCTGTGCCAATCCCATTAGGCTGTCTCCTAAGGTCCCCTTACTTACAGGGTCTGGTTGAGAGTCTGCCAAAAGAGGCACCTGCATGGGATAAGGATGGCAGAAGTGAGGCATCAGCAGCTACTGGCCGAAGTCACCAAGGTTAGAGGCAGTGACTGAAAAGACACTGGGGTGCCAATGGCCACCAGCTTGTCCTCCCTGTCCTCCCCTCTGCGTCCAGCTCTTCTTCCTGTCAACTCTGTTGACCTAGGACAGCCCTGGGCCCCACTCTGTGCCAGCAGGTCTGCACAGCCGCCCACAGACCTCCCATGGCCCTCTCTTTCTCAAAGTCCCGTTTCGGAGGGTGAACATGCTTAGCTTCTCAGAAACACTGGATGTTGCCCCCTCTGATCCTCCAACTTCCATCCGGGACCTTCACCTCCCCAGCTCCTCTTGTAATTGACTCAGGACTAATTCCGATCATAAACCCCTTATCTCGTGATGAATAGTAGTTCTGTTTCCCCAATGGATCATGCCTGATTCACCTTGTTATCTGGTGCCCAAGAGAGGCCTATAAAATAGAACTGGGTGATAAATATTTGATATACCAACATTCAACTGAGACATCTTTTTTCCTGGACTATGGAATGACATGAAATCAGACAGAAAAGTGGGGGTGGCCCTTATCCAGAAGGGAGAGTATGGACTGCTACAGTCTATGCAGCTCCTCATTAGCTCACTCCACGCAAGCATCATGGTCGTGTTCTGCTTTCTCTGTGCCGCCCCTCGTACTGTTAAATGCTCAGATTCCAGGCTCCAGGCCATGGCAGAACTGCAGGCAGCATACCTCTCCCTGTTTCCCTCTATCCTCCACTGGCCCGCATTTGTGAACTTTGCATTTCTTTTTCTCTCTTGAACGGGGCCAGCGGCAATCACACCATTCTCACATGCTGGAGTGGAACTCTGAAAAGAACTGAGTTTCTGAGTTGTCACTTTTAAAGGTGCCTGGCTGGCACTGCGGAGCAGCACATCAGCTGAAAAATGGGCAACCTTCATCTCGGCACACATTTCTCACTCAGCGAGTGCACCCCAGCAATTCCCATCTGGAGTTTTTAACAGAACAATTTTGTAGCATTTCCATTTATTACACATTTAATTGCCTTTTAATTGGTGCAGCTGTTTTCAGCATGCTTGAGGCATCTCGCAACTATCTTCCTTAGAACCCATTTCGGGTTTACTTCCTGCCCCGGATTACATTATTGTCAGTCAAAACTTTGTGCTTGGGCCTCCCAAGTTTAATCAAAGACTTACTGTCTAGTATAAAAGCTTCTAATAACTATATTTTCTATAGGCAGTGGGAAAAGAACAGTACTAAAACTTGGAGGTCATCTCAAGGACTAAAACTACCATTATAATGCACCAAGTCCATGTCAACATGTAAATCATCACCAATGGATCTTGGAGTCCAGCAACTTGAAGTTCCAAAGCCATTATCATCAAGGCATACATATGTCTGAGGCAGGTGGTTCGGCTTCCTGGACTAGGGAGGTGGGGCTGTAAAGTCCTGTCTGAATTTAATATTCTGTCAGTCTGACTATAACTTGACAAAATACCTTTATGATTGGTAGCGAATATTTGAAACATTTTTAGCATAAATATTAATAGTATAGATTTTATATTTTGTGTTTGGATTGCTTTTACTTTTGGCACAAACAGGATCTCCAGATGCTTGCTGATTGATGTGTTTACTTATTTATTTCCTACCCTGAAAAATACAATGGCAGCGCAGGTATAGCAGGTCTAGGTTTAGGCTGGGAGAGTCTCTGCGCTCTGTTTTTCACACCTGTGACCCTGGAGTAATAATATGTACCTCATAGGGGTTTTGTGAGGATAAAAGTGAAGGTCATGATCCTGGACGTGCTTTACAAACCAAGAGATGTTACATGAATACAAGCAATCATTGTATTAATAAGAAATATATCCCCAGGTGATGTGAAGAATTCTTTCTGGGAAAAAAAAAAAACCTAAGCAGATTGCAGCAAAACTTCTGTTACTCCAAGATTACTGACTCAGGTAACCAGGTCATTTTTTGCCTCTAGGACTCTTTCCCTGCTCATTAGTATCTCTGACCAGAGTGGAAATAAGATGAGAAAAATCTAACCAGTGCAGTTTGCTCCTTCAGAGAGACTCTGGTCAATGCTTTGGCAGGAGAAGGAGCTGGGAACTACATAACCCCTTCCTGTGAGGTTCCTGGTGGGGGTCTATGCCAAGCGGCACTCACCTGAGACTTGCAGGTGGGAGGGAAGTCAATGCCTTACTCTGAGGGTAGCAGGGGAATGACCATGGCAACCTGACACGGACAGACCTGGGAGTCACGGCATCTTCCCTGCAAGCTTCTGATGTGTTACACTTTTATTATCACTCAGACAGAGATCATTGGTGGAGGTTCCTCATAAGTTATTAAGGATTGTGGTGATTTCTGGTGAGCTCAGGAGAAGCCCCCACTCCAGTGTTTCAGGCTGAGATCTGGGGAATTGTTTACCCGATGCTCAGCACCTCTGGTTCCTCCAGTGTTTGCAAAGCCCCTAATTCTTCAAATTAAGACCTATTATGCCTGGGATGCACAGCCTGGCTTCTATTTTACTAATTGGACCCTGTCTAATGTAGACCTCTCCCTTTTCACCAATGCCACGTACAGCAGTTATTAAGCACTTACTATAAGCTGCTATGAGCCAGTTGCTAAGTGCTTTACATGTATTATCTCATTTAATCCTCATCATAACCTTTCAAGATCTGTCCTATTACTTCTTCCAATTTATAGATAAGGAAACCGAGGCTTGGAGAGATTAACTTCCCCAAGCCCACACAAGAAGATATATAGAGTCATAGGCTTTAAGAACTACAATATCTTTATGAAATTGGCCAGGAGGGTAATATTTTTCCATGAAAATACACTTTGAAAGCCCAGTAAGAGATCAGAGTGAATCAGCATTCCCCCCAAAACCACAGCCATTCTAACAGAGCTAGGTTGTGAGAATCATAGTGATCAGAGACCTAAAGTCACTGGTGAAACTAGGAACACTGGAGGGAAGTGTTCGGTGGCAATAGGCATTGTTAAAAGTCAGAACTGGTTCTGAGTTAGAGGTAGGGCCAGGAGAATTGTGGTGATGGTGGTGATGGTTACCACTTCAAGAAGCTATGCAAGTGAGTCTTGCATTCTGACCACTGTTACCTTCCTCACTGAACTGAGACCTACAATATCCTTTTGTCTGACCTGAAAGTTAGGATTCAGAAAGATCTCTTCCCTCCAAAGAGACCTTAGCTTGAGCGTCATGATGTTAGCTGAGCAGGAGCCCACGGGGATGTTGCTGTGGTTAAAAGGCTCAGCTGTTATTACAGGAGTTTAAGTAACTGACATCATTTCCTGAATTCCATCAAATTAGTAAGTGTTCCTTCCTAGAAGGACCTCAAAGATGACTCTTAAAGGGTTGAGCTGAAGGAAGAGAAGAAACGTAGAGAAAGTAAGGGGAAGTCACTTTTGTAGTAAACATATGACTCTTACTGCACAAAATAGAATGCACTAGAAATCTCACATACTTTTTAATGAAGCTGACTCTATGGTCCTTATCCCTCTGACTGATGGGAAATTCAATTTCAGTCATTGCTAAGGTTTTCTCTCCTCTCTGCCCTCTCCCCAGGGAAATAGGGAAGTCCTGAAGTTCCTTTGTAGAGCAGACTGTTCAGGAAGGCCTCCCTGGCAACTGGTCCCTGGCCCCCTGTCAAGCTGACTGTCATCTTTCAAGCTCACATAACTTCTTGAAAATGAGAGTTGCTGTGAGTATACCACACACAGGCTCAGGAATCCTTGTATCTGTGGATCCTGCTTCTGGGGTGCACCTCCCTGGAAAGCATGAACCATCCTTCCTCGCAAAGGACCTGCTCTCTCCCTAGAATGCTTTAAGGGAGTGGGGCTCTGGCCCTGGTAACTCGCATCATGATCGTTCCTGTTGCAGCACAAAAGTCATTTCTGCAGGGACCTCTCCTGACCCTCTAATATACCTTCCCTGTCCCCACCACTATGTATCATTATCTTCAAAGTGTTTATTTCTATCTAAATCAATGTGGTTCATTTATTTTAATTGTTATCTCCCACCTTCCTTTAGCCCGTACCCATATTAATAATAACATCAAACATTTATGGAAAGTTTACTATAAACCAGGTATGGATCCATACTTTTACTCCTCAAAATAATCCTACTATATTGGGTCTATTCTTTATTATCAATCCCATTTTAAACAAGTGAGGCAACTAAGGCCCAGAGAGACTTACCAAAGGTTTCCCAGCCAGCATGGCTGAGGTAGGATTTAGACCTGTGGCATCCGGCTCTAGAGTCCTAGTGCTTAACTACAATGCCACTCAGCCTTTCCCCATCACAATCTCCTAGGATTCTAGTTCTGGATTATTAAGAACATTCCCGATCTTCCTTTCCTCTTTTTCTTCCCTCCACTCTCTTTTCCTTTCTTCAGTACTTATTTAAATAAAACTTGAATTTACTAACTTATTTTTTCATCTTTATATCCATAGCCCTTGGTTTTAACTTTTTTTCTAACTGGAGTAATTATGTTAATAATTTTTTTAAGCTGTGTTTTGTATGTTCAAACTTTGGGGCCTGGTATATCTTAGAATATCTTTATTTTACCACCACATTTAAAGATCGCTTAGATGTAAAATTCTGGATTTTAAGTTTCCTTTCTTAGATACTTGAAAAATATTATCAATTATGTTATATCCAGGGTTGTTAAGGATGCTAATGTCAATCTGATTCTTTTTCCTTTGAAGATGATCTGCTTTTTTTCTAACCAAAAGCTTTTAGAATTTTCCCTTTGTCTTTTATTTTCTGGTTCTAAATGTGTGTGTATTTTAAAAATCTATTCTGCTTAGCACACTCTGCTTCCTTTCAGTCTAAGATATTAACATACTGTATATCAGCTTTCTATTGCTGTGCAATAAACACGCTAAAACTTAGTGGCTTAAAAAACAACCTTTCATTAACTTGTGCTTCTATAGGTTGGCAATTTGGACTGGGTTCTGCTGATGGTTCTTCTGCAGTCAGCTGCTTGTCAGCTAAATGGCTCTGCTTCCAGGAGTTAAATGGCAGTCAGCTGGTATAACAAGGGCAACTGGGCCACATGTTTCTCATCATCCATCTGGCTAGATTGGGCTTGCTCATGTGCCACTCAGGCTTCAGAAAGAAACAAAAGATGATAAGTCCCAATGGGGAGCCCTTTCCTAGTCTCTGCTTGCATCAATTTTGCTCTTGTCCCATTGGCTAAAACAAGCCACATGGCCAAGCCTAGAATCCCGTATTGGAGAGGACTAACAAAGGGCATGGATAGGGGGAGAGGAAACAACTTGGGGGCCATTACTGCAAAATGTGCCACATCCTCTTTTAACTCTGAAAAATTCTTGATTACTTTTCCAAGCATTTTCTCACCTACACTTACTTTTGCTCTCTCCTCCAGTGATTCCTAACATACAGATGTTAACTTCTATTTTTATCCTCCATCTCCTTAAATTTTATAGTTTCAACTGCTTTAATCTTTCTTAAAATCTTCTGGAAGGCTTCTTGACCTGAGCTTTTATTTCCTTTGTTCATTTTGTTCTGTTCTGTTCTCAAATAATCTGTTGAATTCCTTATGTTGATAATTAACATTTTATTCCTAGTACCTTCAGTCAGTTTTTCTTTCCTGTTCTTCATTATTTCCAAAATTCTCCCTTATTCCAATAATAGGTATTATCCTATATCCTAGTAGAGGGTATTTCCTGTATGTATTTTGAATTTGATTCTGTCTGGTTTATTAAGTCTGCATTCTCTTTAGTTTCCCTGTGTTACTTTTTCTGAGAGTCACCTTTTCTCTAAGAATCACATAACCCTGGGAGTATCAATAGCCTTGGCTAGTAGTGGATATCTGAAAGGAAGGGTTCTTGCTCAGGGTCCAACACCCAGTCCCTAGCTTATGCCTTTCCTGGTGAGTTCAGGGAGCTGGCAATGTGTGAACAACATGCCTCCAAGTTCCACCATTCCCTATTTATTCTCTGCCTCCCAAATTAGTGACATTTCCCCTCAAGGCTACATCCTCCAGTTTTCACAATAACAGCTAATATTTCTTGAACATTTAGTTTATCAGTTCATTTCTTGAACATTTAGTTTATATCAGTTCCAGTTGTATGTACCTTCCTATGTATTGTGTCTTTTAAACCACCTAAGAGGTAGGTTGTATGATTATGTCCATTTTAGAGATAAGAAAACAGAGACAGAAAGAACTTAAGTAACTTTCCCAAAGTCATAGAGAAGTAAATGGTGGGGACAGGATTGAAATCTAAGCAGTCTGGCTTTAGAGCCCACGCTCTTAACCAGGCATCCTCAAACTACGGCCCACAGGCCATGTGCCGCCCACCTAGGACATTTATCCGACCCACCGGGTGTTTTTGCCACAGCTGCCTGTCCTGCTTAGCAGCCAACTCATCCCGGGCCCACAGTGCGCACTCTCCAATGGTCTGGGGGACAGTGAACTGGCCCCATGTTTAAAAAGTTTGAGAACCCCTGCTCTTAACCTTTATACCATGGGATGAGAGGCCTGAGGAAACAGTGAACCTCAGGGACCAGGCCTCTGCCTGCCCAGTGTGTGATCTGCTCTCCACCCAGGTGGGCTCCGGCACTGTCCTGATGTTCCTCAATACTTCACTGGTTCTGGGCCAGTGGGACTGTGTTTTCTGCCTGGCAAGCAGTTTTCTGTCCATAGCAATGCGAGAGAATGAGCAGGACATAACTATAATATTAATAGAAAACTCTTCTGTGTTGTCTTTCCAATCTTGGCACCAGATCTTCCCCACCACACTCACTCCCCCCATCCCTGTCCCCTTAATACACACTCCCGTACCCAATCACCATCCGCCTCTCTGGTATCTTTTTATCTTTTTTTGGTTTTTGCCATGTTATTAGATGCCTCAAACTTGTTTATGTGACATCTTTGGGGTTGGTTCTGGGGAGGGAGCCAGAATCTCATAGTAGGTCACCATCTAGTCAGGAAACATCTGTATATGTAATTTCCGGAGTAATTTATTCACTAACCTAAGCCCCAAAGAACATCTAGCTCCATGAACGCTAACCTCAGCTCTTCACCAGATATTTCCTTCTGGCTCATATTCAATCCCCAAAATCAACACAGGATTTTCTATTGTTTTATCAGTCTTTAAAACTTCTTGGATCTCTCAGCACACTCACATACATACAAACATTCAGATTTAGGGCTACACTTAACTTTATAACAGGCAACGATTTTGGTCTCTCCTACGCTGCCTCAGACAATTGACTTTCTCCTTCTTGACACTGATATTTAACTCTTGAGGCTTTCAGCATTTTTAACTTTTCTTTTTAACTAAAAATGCAAGCATCTAGATTTTTCTCAAGCCACACAGCCCTTCTACGTGTGTCCAGGACTGCACCTGTGGGGCCAGGCTAGGCTTGATGGTCTTATTCCTGTTCCTCACCTGGATTGTGGCTGTCCTTCAAAGTTTAGCTCAAACGACTCTGCCTCCAGGAAGCCTTCCTTCATTCCTCAGCCCAAAGTAATCCCTCTGAATTTAGATAGCACAGAGGCTGCCAAGGCCTCACATGTGTAGGCTTTGCTTTCCTTTTCTGTGTGTGTCTGCATTCACGTTCTCTAAACTGCCTACTGGGCTACCTGTAGTCCCTCAGAAGACTAGACCCAAGACCAGAGGTCGAGAATTTTGAGTTCTGACTTTCCCCCTGCTCTACAGATACCCCCCATCCTTTTCCAATTTATTCTGGCATACACAATAGTGTAGATATAAAAATAAACTTTTCTTCATTGGAAATAGAATTGTGGATGTGAGCTGTATGAGGCATGCCATGCCAGTCCTGGTTCTTTTATCATTTAGTTTCGTGACTTCAAGCCAGTCACTTTACTTCTCTGGTCCCTATTTTCCTCATCTACAAGAAAAGGGGCCTGGGCTAGGTGATTTCTGAAGCTCAGTCTATGATTCAAGTTGTAAATACCTTTAGGTCTAGGTCCCCATGTCTTGATTGATTGATTGATTGATTGGTTGATTGATTTACTCTTAGCTCCAATAGCACTGTAAGCAAATATTGGTGCTTAGTATTGAATGAATGAAGCAATCAGTGATCATCTTAGGTGCTTTGTAGTCCTAATTCCTTAGTCGGTGGACCCTAACCTAGTGGATTGCCAGCAGGGGCACGTTTTCAGAAATGATCTCTGGAAAACTGTTTTGTCAGGAGAGTCCAAGTTTCCGATGACTCATTTGTGATGAGTAACTTCCTGAGAAAATGTCCTTTAGGGAGCTATAGATACACTGGGATGTGCTGCAGGTTGCCTGTCCTATACCTAAATTATTAATATATAATTCCTATTTTCCACAAATTGGAATTAAGGTCCTGAGGAAAAATCTATATCATCCAAGGTACTTTATGTTTTATGGCAGGGACCTACCCGGGAGTCACCACATACATGAATGTGGTCCGAAAGCTAGAAATCGGCTCCTGCCTTGGGTTGCAGCTCTGGTTCCAGGAGGCCAACTCGCACCGAGGACTGCAGAGAAGGGAGCATAGCTGGCTTCAAATGCAGCATCCCAAGCTCCCTTGGGGATTGCTGAAAATGCTGCGAAAGGAGCAGACCACTGGACTCAGCCCGGAGAGAGAAAGCTGAAGCCCCCAGGGCCACCCCAACAGTCACTGTGCAACTCCTCCCCTGGCCCAGTGTGTCTAAGAGAGCTTAACAGGCCCCAAATCTTCACAGCTCACTCCCCACATGGGCACACAGCGGAGGGGCTGACTCTCTGCGTCACATCAGTTAAAACCCAGCCAAGCAGTGGGACTTCTCTGTATTTTGTTCTATTATTAGAATCCAATTACCATCTGGTGGTATGCTATAGGGAAGTGCTATTCTTCTGCGTCAGCAAACACACAATGCAGCAGTTTGGTGTGCAAGCTGGAAGCTTTCAGAGCTTAGAGCAAAAAGTAGAGAAATAATTTTATTTCTGCCCAAACAATCTCATGCCCATTGGGATTCCCCTGGCTTCAGGATGTAGTTATTGAGCTTGACCTTATAAAAGGAGGACCTTATTCTGGTGTCATGCTGACCTTTAAAAGGAGAAACCCATTGCCCCAGCCTAAGCCCATGTATTCAGGGCTTACTTTATGTGCCTACCTGTTTCCTTCCCTGCTGAGTGCAGCCCCAACAATCCCTGGGTGTCCAGCTTCCTTCAAGAGGGAAGAAGCTGCTACTTCTTCAAGAACTGCTATCTGAAGCAACAGCCTCCAGCCTCAATGCCACCCACTTCCCTTTCCTTGACTCAGGTCCCCAAGGTGGGGGA